GGGGGTCGGGGAGAGGGAGCGGTGAGGGAGGGGGTGCGTGAGAGGGAGCAGGAGGGAATCACTTGGTGACAGTGATTGGGTGATAGGTAGTAAGGGTTGCAATTTTTAGGCCAAAAGTGAAGAATCGGCTTTTACACTTGAGTAATCATCCACCTTTAGGGTTTTGGAGTAGATCTGTAGCTCGGGTTGTGGGTGTTAAGGTTGGTTGGCTCGCCGAGCTGGTTTGTTGTTCCGCAGACGTTTCATTACCGTGCTGGGTAACATCCTCAGTGCAGCCTACGATGAAGCGTCGGTGTGTTTTCCCGCCTGGTTTTTAAAAACTCTGGGGTCCGTTGAGTTGGATTGCCTCATTTCCGGTCTTCCTTCGCAGTGGAGTGTATATGGGGTCGAGTTCAATGTGTTTATTAATGGGTTTCTTCGTGGAGACCAATACTCACTCATCTCCATCCACATGGATAAGGAAAGCAACCAATTCGATTGGGACAACACCAAGATCCTGGGACAAGCAAAGCAGAGACAGGCACGGGAATTCCTAGAGGCCTGGTACCAGGCCTGGTACCTGGTACCACACTGAAGCTTCATTGGAGGCTGCACTGAGGATGTTACCCAGCAGGGTAACGAAACGTCTACAGAACATCAAACCAGCTCGGTGAGCCAACCAACCACAACATCATCCACCATGTGTATCTGGTAATCTATCTCCAGGGTAAAGTTGTCCCAATAGCTCAGAGCCACAGAGACAGTTCATTGGCTGCTGTAAGGGCCAATCAGCCCCTGGTGTCCTGCTGAGAAGTGACCTGTCTTTCCCCAATCCTCTTTCCTATTGGTTACCTGAGGCACCCCACTGTAGGCTGCAGGTTATAGTAACCAGGCTCGCACTGGCTGCAATCCCGGCCAATCACATGGGGCAGACACTCACATTGGCCGCTCCCAGGGTCGCAGGTCTGAAGCTGATTGGTGGAGCCAATGGGATGGCAGGCACATGCTGCAGACAAACAGAAAGAACAAGACAAGATGGTGGTCCAGTGATTCTCAGCAAGATATCAGTGTCGTGACCTTCAGTGTGGCTACGGGCCATTCACGCAGTGTTCCTGCTCCACACAAACCTTCTCACCCACCCCTCTTCACACCGGTGTTTAAACCAGCTTCCCCCCGAGTACATTAACACAACTCACTCCAATCACTGGGGGGGGAGGAGGGAGGAGGGAGGAGAGCTGCACGGTGGCTCAGTGGTTAGCACTGCTGCCTCACAGCACCAGGGTCCTGGGTTCGATTCTACCCTCGGGCGACTGTTTGTGTGGAGTTTGCCCCTTCTCCCCATGTCTGTGTGGGTTTCCTCCCACAGGATTAGCCACGAGGAATACAGGTTTGAGTGTGGGTAGGCTGCCCTTTGGACAGTCAGTATGGGCTGAATGGCCTGCTTCCACACTTAGGGGTTCCATGATTCTAATCTCACCCTGTGGCAGGGAACTCCACATTCTCTCTGGGTAAAAAGACGTCTCACTTGAATCGCCGATTAGATTTACCAGAGGATACCTTACGTTTACAACTCTGCATTGAAATTGAGACAATCAGGAGCACCTTGAAAACTTCAACAAGCAACCCAAAGAAATTTCTGGAACAGATGCCTATCTCACATAATGAAACAGACTCACTAACATTCCATTCGAGTGAGAATTGGGCTGGGTTTTGAATGGAGTAGGGATTGTATCCAGCACAAAAGGGCTGTTTGATATTGAACAGAACCAGAGTTGATCATTCAAATCAACCTGTCCAGAGATATTAAGACACACATTTGGAGCAGGTGGGTCTTGAACCCAGGCCTCCTGGCCCAGAGGTTAGGGCACTACCACAGCACCACAAGATCTTACTGCATTTGGACTCCCAGGTGGTCTCCCATCCAATCCGAGGCTCCACATACACTTGGAAGATGAGGAGGGATCGTACATTTTCAGACCAGTAATGGCCAGTGGCCTGACTCCTGCATCAGCTTGTGACAAAGCTGGCATCCTTTTTAATAAAAAGGAGATCAACACGTTCTGAGGTATTATGACAAGCTTCTGGAGCAGGTGGGACTTGAATCCAGGCCTTCCAGGGGTATGGACACTATCATTGCACCACAAGAGGGTCCTAAACTTGACACTTAGCCCCAGGATTAGATTGGAATCCCCTGGAAAATGATGAGATAGAGAGAGGTTTTGCAGATTGTTTTTCTCCTCCAGCTGGCCGGGTCTTCAATAATTGTTTTTATGCCTTTTCCACAAAATTGAGTGTAAACTCGAAGGGAGTGTGGGAAGGGTGAGTGGTGGTAACGTTCCTAAGTCCAGGCTGGGAACATGGGTTCAAATCACACCATTAGATGCTGGAATTTAAATTCAATTGATAATAAAATCTGAAATCGGTAACAGTGACTGTGAAACTATCATCAATTGTTGGGGAAGGAAATCTACTGTCCTTACCCGATCTGGCCTGCATGTGAATGCAGATCCACAGTGATGTAGCTATTACTTATCCTCAGGAACTCAGTTCAAGGGGCAATTAGGGATGGACAATAAGCTCTGGCCTTGCTAGTAACATCCACACCCCTGGAAAGATGTTTTAAACAATCCTGAATCACAGTTTACAGCATTGAAGAACGCCATTCGGCCCATCGTGACTGCAAGGTGATATAAAGCGTATCACAAGTTGTGGGGGGAACAGATCACCGAAGGAGTGAGCAATGCCACAGGAGATCAGCTTGGAAGGTTAACCTGGGTCTCAACATTATTGTTCTTCCCACAGTTTGGTTCATTCCATAGAATCATAGAATGCCTACAGTGCAGAAAGAGGCCATTCAGCCCATTGAGTCTATACCGACCCACTGAAGAGCATCCCACCCACCCCCCCACCCCTATCCGTGTAACCCTGCATTTCCCACAGCTAAACCCACCTAGCCTGCACATTCCTGGACACTAGGGTCAATTTAGCATGGCCAATCCACCCTAACCTGCACATCTATGGACTGTGGGAGGAAACCGGAGCACCCGGAGGAAACCCACGCAGACACGGGGAGAACGTGCAAACTCCACACAGAGAGTTGCCCGAGGGTGGATTTGAACCCGGGTCCCTGGCGCCATGAGGTAGCAGTGCTCACCACTGAGGCAATATCTCTGGCATTTAGAGGAATGAGAGACAAGCTGCCTGAAACATCCAAAAGTTGTTTAACATCTAAAATTTAAAAACATAAAAGCATGAAAGAGTGGTCGGGGCTTGGAATGCATTGCCGGAGAGGGTAGTGGAGTCGGCCTCATTTGGGGCATTTAAGCAGCTATTAGATAGGCATATGGATGATAGTATAAGGTAGGGGTGGAGGTTAGATAGACCTTAGGTTTAGGGTAAAATTTCGGCACAACATTGTGGGCTGAAGGAATTGTACTGTGCTATGTTCTATGTTCTAATGTTTGTTGCAGCAGGCTCAAAGGGCTGAATGGCCAACTCTTGTTCCTTTTTATGTTCCTGTGAAGGAGTGAGGTAGGGTTACATGATCCAGTACCCTCTCAATCACCACAGATGGTAAATACCCTCTCACTCTGCACTATATACAGTAATGTTGAAGTCATCATAGTCCCATACATCCACATTAGCTACATGGCTTACCGGACACTGTTCCAATTTGTAATTATACACACTTATCATCAGGGCCCACCGCTGAATACAGCCTGAAGGTACGGGCAGCACTGCCTTGTCCTATTTAAGTAGGCCCTAGTCGGTATCAACCTCCATTAGAACTAGGTGACCATTTAACCAGGCATTTATTTTGATTGGTTCTGATTTGGATGTGGCTAAGCAATTTAACTGTTCCAAACCAGGTATAGGTGGACTTTCCAGGGTGAGCACTCTTCTGGGTACCAACCTCTGACTTCTCTTACTTTTGCTATCTCAACTCCGCACACCGGCAGCAACTACAATGGCTTGATCCTGAAGAAAATTTTAACCGTTTGGCCGAGGCTTGGCTTTGTTCTGGAGTTCTGCTGTGGGCTGACCAAGAGTCCCGCTGTTCAGGATACATCCACAACAAGGCTATGCTACTGCCTTCACTCAACAGGTGCTCCCCAAGCTCAGTCGGCCTGGAGAGGGTATCCACTTCCATTGGAATACCCTGTAATCCATATGCTCCACTTGGCACGTTTTCAAATGACAAAGCCTGTTTGCAGTCCAATTGGGCTTCAGTCAGTAGGTGATTTTGCTTGGTCATATCATTAATCCCACATTCGAAACAGTCTCTCAGCATCTCATTAAGGGTTAAACCAAAGTCACATTCTTGTGCCAGTCAAAAACCCTAATATGGATTCCCCTGGTTCTTAAATTGCCGAATAAAACCAATAGCATCTGAGAATTAGAAGAGGTTTGGGGTCATAATATTCCTTAAATAAACCCGTCAACTCTTGAAAGGTTTTAGTATCCGGTGCCTCAGCAAAAGTTAAGCTCCTAATAACCAAAAAAGCTGTGGGTCCACAAGCTGTCAGGAGAATTACTCGTTGCTTTTCATCTGCCCCAATGTCATTCGCCCAGAGAAAGTAACGCATTCTTTCCACATACAGGGCCCAGTCTTCGATTGCAGGATCAAACGAGTTGAGCTTCCCAAATAACAGCGTGATGCCAGAAATGCTGACCCCAGCTCAAAGACAACTGTACAAGAACAAAGTTGCCGGAAAAGCTCAGCAGGTCTGGCAGCATCTGTGAAGGAGAAAACAGAGTTAACGTTTCGGGTCCGG